CCCAGCCTTTGGGTCCTTAGGTTTCCATCATCTGTGCCTCCTGAGCATTCCTGTGTCCGTGAAGACTGTATCCTGCCACAGGGAGTGCCTGTCCGGAGCTGAGGCCGCGGGATGAGGAAGGGACAGAGTCTGATGCTTGGCTTTTGGTGATCAGTTTGTTTCTTCCTGGATGCACCGCAGGATGCCAATAGAGTGACTTTTCTGAGCTTCATTTGCGCATCCATGCCATCATGCCTCTTCTGAGTCGCGGAGTCCAAGGGGAAGGAGAAAGGTGCGAATTCCTCACGTATGAATGAGGCTTTACACTTGGAACTGCTGGCCGGAATCAGTGATCTGATTTTGTGGTTTCAGGAGCCTTTGGTGGGGTGGGTTGGGTTGAAGTGGTGAAAGGGTAGGGTTTCATATTTCTAGAGGCCCAGTGCATGGGTGGGGCCAGCCGGATAGCCCTGATGAGTGCCCCAGATCAGGGTGGGGCTCCCCGTTGGGGGGTCGGGCTGGCTGAGGTGATGGTTCAAGTTGTCCTGGTCTCTGGTAGTTCTGCCGTTTGGGTAGCTGGGCTTTTATTATATAGGATTCTTTGTAAAGTCTGCATCTTTGAATCTATTTGTCCACTTTTTCTTTTATTTAGTTACCCGTCACCCTATTTTATAGTAGTCATCTTAAAGTTTTTAACTGGACTCAATATCTGGCTTATCTGTGGGTATTCTATTATCTATTTTTTTCTTGACTATTGATCAATTTTTCCTGTTCATCCACTTCATAATTTTTTATTAGATGCCAGACTTTTATGTAAAAACTTACAGAGAATATAGCTGCTATTATTTTCCTCTAGAGATAAAAATAGAAAGCAGGGTGAGGATCAGGGACTGAGCTGGGCTGGGATTGGGTTCTAATTTCAGCTCATTTTTTATCTCTCTTTGGTCCTTGGTTATAATTCCTCTGTGTGTGTGTGTGTGTGTGTGTGTGTGTGTGTATGTTTGTTTTTTGTTTTGTTTGTTTGTTTGTTTGTTTGTTTTTTAGAGAGAGCCAGTATGGTTTCTATCTTCTCAGCCCTGAAGATTCAATTCTGCCTTTGGGAGGTTTAAACTCAGATCTTTAGCCTCTTAATCACACAATTTCAAAAATATTGCAAATGTCTTGAGGGGATTGACTGCAAGAAGCATGACTCCTTCTAGGCAGAGATTGTTTATATGCACTGGCAGGGTGTGGGGAGGTTTTACTCCCCCAACAGTCCCAGTCCTTAGCCTCCACAACCCAGCTCATGCCTGGTGGGAAAGCTGGCTGTGTGTTTGGGGCTCCTCTACATGGCCAAGCCATTACACAGCTCACATGACTACTAAACATTTCCCTGGTTTCTCTTTTCCTGTGTAAAGTCTCTCTGCCCAGACTAAGCTTGAACAGTCCATGCCCAGAACCAGTAAATGTCACCAAAGAAAACAGCTGGTGAACGTCAGCTCTCTTAGTCCAGGCCTCAGCAAAAGGAGATTTATTCAATTGCACTGTCCTTTGAGGGACAATGACTGAATGTAGGAAGATGCCAAACCAAAATTCTACACACAAATATCACTGAGGTCTTTGCAGAGACTTGGACCAGAACAAGCAAGAACATCATTTCAGACTAGAACTGAGCAAGAAGAAGCTTCACGAGCAATGCCTTATGCCAGTGGGAAGCAATAGCAGTACATACCGAATAAGAATCCAGTTCTGCTTTAGCCTGGCCTTGAAAAGAGAACTGATTCACTTACTGGCGTAAGTGCTTGGGGTTCTTGAACAACATAAATGTACAGCTCAAGAGGGAAATAAAAGACTGTCTGCTAAAAGATCAGGCAAGAATCCCACTTTTTTGTCAATCTGGTACCAGTTTCAAATTTATATTACATTTAATCTAATGATATTAGGAGAAAAGATGAATGTTGGGATATTATGAAAAAACTAGTGTGCACTGGGAGGAAGGTGTCCCTCAACCCAGCCTGAACCCTCTCTAATCTGGGACCCCTCGGGGGATGCCTGACTGCTGGTTTGGAATTGGGCCTAAACTGGCAGTCGGACATCCCTCTCACAATCTGGGACTTCTGACTCCTAACTACTCACCTCCTGACTGCCTGATTACCCCTAACCACTCTGCATGCCAGCCTGATCGCCCCTTAACCCTCCCCTGCCAGCCTGATTGATACCTAACTGCTTCCTTGCTTGCCTGATGGCCCCCAACTGCTCTCCCCTGCCAGCCCAATTGCCTCCAACTGCCCTCCCCTGCTGGCTCAATTGCCCCCAACTGTCCATTGCCTGGAGGACTGATCACCCCCAAATCCCATCCCCTGCAAGGTCTGATTGCCCCCACTGCCTTCCCCTGCAGGTCCAATCGCCTCCAACTGCCCACCCCTGCCAGCCTGGTTGCCCCCAAATGCCCTCCCCTGATGGCCATCTTGTGGCAGCCATCTTGAAATGATGTGAGGCCAGCCATCTTGTGATGACATGGGGGTGACCATTTTGTAATGATGTGGGGGCAGCCATATTGTGGCAGCCATCTTGTGATGACATGGGGGTGGCCATCTTGTAATGATGTGGGGGCAGCCATATTGTGGCAACCATCTTGTAATGACATGGGAGTGGTCATCTTGTGATGATGCGAGGACTTGAGGGCCACCTAGGCTTTTATTAGTATATTTAATGCTTATTACGTTCATCTTATTTCAATGTTTTACTCATAAAGAGTAAGCTAATTTAGAGACTTGATAAAGATGCCTTTCACCTTAAGAAAACTGATATGTCAAAAAACAAGATAAGAAAAGTTGGAGTGGGAGATATACACATTTAACTAATTAAAGGCTAGTGTGTGCTAAGCATTGTACTTGGCACTGGGTGTACATGGAAAAGGTGCTAACCCCTTGCTTTGGATTGAATGTTTGCATCTCTCCTCCAAATTCATATGTTGAAGCCTTAACCCCCAATGTGATGGTATTTGGAGATGGAGCCTTTGTTGTTCCACTATTTATTCATTCATTGGTTGATTTTTGTATGTGCCCTGACTGGGAATTGAACCTGAAATCTTGGTGCATGGGGATGATGCTCTAACCAACTGAGCTATCATGCCAGGGCTGGAGGTGGCGCCTTTGAAAGATAATCAGGTTTAGATGAGGTCAGGCCAGTGGAGCCCACACTGTGGGATTAGTACCCTGATGAGAGAAAACACAAGATCTCTCTCCCTCTCACCCATACTCTCACATGTGAGGGTACAGCAAGAAGGCCATCTGCAACCTGGAAGGTGACTCTCACCAGAGCTTGACCATGCTGGCACCCTGATCTTGGACTTCCCAGCCTCCATACTGGGAGAAAGTAAATATCTGTCATTTAAGCCACCCAGCTTACAGTCTTTTTTTATAGCAATCCTAGCAAACTAAGGCATCCTGCTCTTGTACCTTTGAAAAGTAAGCCTCATGATGAACTCAAAATGTGATTAAATCAATAATATATATATTTTTAAGCACCATTTATGACTACTTAAAAATATATTTTAAAACTCTGCAATAACAGGACTCCTTCAGTAACATTTACTTCCTAGATTTGCTAATCTTTATCAAAATAATATATCCTTACTATTAGAGCAAAAGTAGTTTTCCCATCCCCCTACTGAGTTAATTTAACTGTCCAGATCCAAGTGGGAAAAACATACTATCAAATTTTTAAAACCGGGCAAATATCATGAGTTCTACAAGCATTTTTTTTCCCCTTCTACTTCTTCAACAAGAGTAGGGTGTCAAGGAGGAGAAATGCGAGAAGCTAAGAAGAAAACAATGTTCACCCAAGAGAAGCAATAGTGGCGGAGGAAAGAAATTTAAAGGGGACTGAACAGAAGACTAGGAGGTAAGACATGAGTGGGAAAGGAAAAAGGTTTTCAGTTTTTATTTCTTTTAAAAAACATTTTTATTTATTTCAGAGAGGAAGGGAGATAGAAACATTAATGATGAGAGAGAATCACTGATTGGCTGCCTCCAGCATGCCCCCTACTGGGTGTGGAGCCCTCAACCTGGGCATGCACCCTTGACTGGAATGGAACCCGAGACCCTTCAGTCCACAGACCTGACGCTATATCCACTGAGCCAAACCGGCTAGGGCTTAGCTTCTATTTCTTTAACAACAGGCCTCAACAGAGAAAGGAAGTGGGCTAAGGTGGATAAACCACACTTCCTCTCTAAGATCATGATTGAGTTGCCAATATTAATTCTGCCAGGCTGCGTATTGGATAGCATTATACTTATAAATCTTAATTCATAATTAGAAGTATACTTTTTTGCATTGGTTCAAATTTCATTTCTCTCACAAAACATACTTCAAAACTACTTCCTAGATTTTCTCCGTTAAGCCCATGGGTCCAATTTCTCCTATAGCTTTGCTGATGGAATGAAATGTATGGAAAGAGCCATAATTAATAAATCAGTTTTCATATATGCTTTTAGTTTCCTGTATCCGGGGAAGGTTAAGAAGGTAGCTGTTTCAGGGGGAGATTTATACTTGCGATGATCCAAGTCCATGTGCGATGCGTCTCAATCTGTGAAAACACAAGCCACCTCTTCAGGGAGCATCAGCTGCAGAGAAGCCTCTTTCCGAGGCCCAGATCTGGGGCAACCGGCTTCCCTACTTCCGGCCACGCCCCCTCCCCGACGGTTGCTAGGAGACGTGATGTCACAGGAAGCGAGGCCTGGAATAGGTTAAAACGAGGGGAAGCCCCTCCCCCTCGGCAACCTTAGCTCCCGGGCTGGTGCTCCAGCTGTTCTAGGCCTGGGCTTGAGGGTCCGGCCCGCGGTAGCCCCCGGCGCCCCGGCCGCCGCCGCCGCCGGCTCCCGCCTCCCTGCCCGCCGCGGGGCCGCCGCCCGGCGGGACACTCAGGGCGGCTGCCCGAGCTCCGGACCGCGGCCGCCGTCTCCACACCCCGCGCCGCCCGCCACGTCCCCGGTCCCGGCCGGCGGCGCGGCGTGCCGGGTGACCTTTCCGGGCCCGGGGCGATGGCGGCTCCCGGCCCCAGGCCGGCCCGGCCTCCGGGGCGCCCCGAGCCGCGGCCCGGGCGCGTCTCGCCGCCGCTGACGCTGCTGCTGCTGGTGCTGGTGCTGCTGCTGGCGGGGCCGGCGCGCGGCTGGGAGAGCGGGGACCTGGAGCTGTTTGACCTGGTGGAGGAGGTGCAGCTCAACTTCTACGAGTTCCTCGGGGTGCAGCAGGTAAGCGGGGCCCGCGCCCGCCGGCGGCCGCGGCTGCGGGCAGAGGCACGTGCGGTCCCGGCGGAGGGGAGGGGGCGGGGCGGCTCCTCGCGGAGCGGGCGCGGGCGCCGCGGCCGGGGCTCGGCCACCTGGTTCTCGGGTCCTCGCCGCCCCGCGCCCCTCCTCAGGCTGCGGTCTCAGTTTGAGGCTCAGGGCGCCCCGGCCGGCGGCAATCCCTCCCTTTCCTCCGCCGTCTGGGGGAGACCCTGCCACCCTCCTGTACGGGAAGAAGGAAGAGGCGTGTGCGGGGAAGAGCAGTCACGTGTCACTGAAATTTCACCTGCCCAGGTACACCTTCCTCCGCTCATTTTAGCTGCCGGCCCTCCTCCGCCTTCCCGGGCGGTCGGAATGCCTTTTGGTCGGTCGGCGCCTGTGTTGCAGAAGTTTTCCTTGCACTGAACTTGGGAATCTGTTGAGCCTGTCGGATGGGGGTTGGTATGCCAGTTTAGAAGTCTGGAGGAAGCTGACGCTACCTTGGTCCTAGAACCCTGCAAAGAAATACTAAGTTGTGGGGGGGGGGCAGTAGAGGCACTTGAGCTGCTCAAGGGAGAGGCCCAACCAGTGCTCAGGATGATGTCTTTGGTTTTCTTTTCTTTTCTTTTTTTTTTTTTTTTTAAATCTTGGAACTTTAACCTGTCAGGGCCGTTTGTTGCCCTGTACTTCTTTCTACCTGTGAGTGGTCAGTGAAGGAAGGTATATCTGATGGCATATGGGGTGGAGAAAGACAGGATTTCACACGACCTGACTGAGCCCGGTATGCAGTGCTTTGAATAATTATGGGGTGAAAAAAACATTTTAAGTTTTTACCAACAATTGTCATTCAAGTTACACTTTACATGACTAGATATGCCCTATAGATGTGAACTATGGAGCTTAATACTAAATGGAAAATTACTTTTCACTTAAATATAATTTAACTGTTGCACTATGATTTTAACGAATTTTATTTTTTTTGGTAAAAGTTTCTAAAGTATAAGCATTCACACTCCAAATTCATAGGTGCAAACAGTTATGTACTGTCTGTATTCATTATCTTCCCGCTTATAGACAAATATAACTCATTACAGAGTAAATGATGCAAAAGTCAGTAAAAGTAACCAAAGGCTTTTAAGAATGCCTTTAATATTGATAATATTTGTTAGAATTTATCATGATTGATTAAATTCTGTAGCTACAAAGAGTCTTATACATATACATAACCTATCCAAAGATCTTGGAAATGCTTTCCAATTATTCCTGGAAAATTAAGCCCCTTTAAGAGAATACAAAAATTTAGTAGCTGTGGCTTAAATTTTGGATTATGCAATTTAGCTTGCATGTGAACACTCATAGAATTTTTGTTTATAATTTCATGCAATTTAATTTGCAGAGTTAGGCAGTGTGGAACAACCAGAGCAAAGATGGAAAATAAAGAAGCATAGATAATCAAGAGCATTCTCTAATTAATTAGAATTTGAAAAGGATCCAGAAAATTGTTTTAATTTGTGTTTCTTTACCCAGCCATGGAAGAATAAATCTTATTCTACCTAAGCAGAGAAACTGATGGGAACTAGTTCTCTACGTTACACTGAATCTTAACTTTCTTGGAAGACTTTCAGAGGACCAAAAATTTGTTAAAAGACAAATGCAGCCTGTTATTTGTGTCTTAAAGTGTAATTTTCAGGCCAGAGCCAACCAATTTTTTTGGTGACTAGCCAGATATGAGGGACCAAGACAAAGTAGGTTGGTTACTCAGAGTGGTGACCTGGCTCTATACACTCATCAGCTTTGTTGTCCATTCAACAGAGATTTATTTGACACCTACTACATACAATTTAAGCAATGGGAGTTGGTTGGTGTATAATATGAAACCTGAGCCTTATAAAACTCACAATTTAGTAAGAGGAAACACATTCTATATAATCCTATATAATAAAAGGCTAATAGGCAAACCAACCAAACCATGGAACGGCTGGTCACTATGATGCGCACTGACCACCAGGGGCAGATGCTCGACGTAGGAGCTGTCCCTGGTGGTCAGCACGCACCCCTGGTGGTCATTGTTCTTCCCTCTGTTCAGCCAGATGCCAGGCTCACAGCTGGCATGCATAGCGGCAGTGGCGGGTGCTTCTCCCACCTCCGCAGCAGTGCTAAGGATGTTCGACTGACATCCCTGGTGGCGGGCCTAAGCTGCCAGCCGGACATCCCCCAAGGGCTACCGGACTGTGAAAGGGTGCAGGCCAGGCTGTGGGGACCCTCCCCCCCTCGAGTGCATGAGTTTCGTGCATTGGGCCTCTAGTAGTAATATAATCAAATAAGTAATTATACATGTCAGATGGTCAGAGAAGGCCTTTAAAGGAAATAAGGAAGTGAGCCAGGTGGGTCAGTGGAAGAGCATTTGAAGAAGGCAGACGGTTGAGTGCCAAGACCTTGATGCAAGAACTTGGCTAGAGTTTGAGGAACAGCAAGGCAGCCAGTGTGTCTGGAGCAGGGTGAAGGAGAACAGTAATAGGAGATGTGATCAGAGTGATGGAGTTAGGGGAAGATCTTGTAGGGCTTTGTAAAACATTATTAGGACTTTGGCTCTCCTATATAATAAAAGGCTAATATGCAAATCGACCAAACAGAGGAACTGCTGGTTGCTAAGACACACACTGACCACCAGCAGGCAGACGCTCACCACAGGAGCTGCCACCTGGCGGTCAGTGTGTTACCACAGGGGAAGGCCACTCAGCCAGAAGCCCTGAGCAGGGCTCACGGCTGGTGAGCACAGCTGCAGCAGCACTAAGGATGTGCCCTGCTTCCCCAAAAATAAGACAGTGTCTTGGAGTAATTTTTTCTCCCAAAGTTGCGCTAGGTCTTATTTTCAGGAGATGTCTTATCTTTCCATGTGCTAGGTCTTATTTTCGGAGAATGTCTTATTTTCGGGGAAACAGGGTACAACTGCCTGCTTAGGCCTGCTCCCCACCGTGCTGAGGGACCCCCTGAGTGCATGAATTTTGTGCACAGGGCCTCTAGTTAATTACAAGTAAGTTGGGATCTCATGGGGCGGGGGAAGGGGCATAAAATGGAAGGAGGTACATGGTTTGACTTAAATTTAAAATAACATTTTGTGTTGAGGATCGTCTGTATGTACGTCATTGGCTTTTAGAAGGATAATTATGGTGTAGAATATAGATTGTACCTGGGTGGTGTAGTCAGATTTTGAAATTAATTGGAAAATACAGCTGGCAGGATTTTATTGATTGAATGTGGGATGTGAGAGAAACAAGAATTGAGGATAACTTTAAAGCTTTTGATGTCAGTAATTGAATACCATAAGTATTTGTGTAATTGCAGTTGCCACTTACTAAGATGGAAAAGCCTGGGATAGAAACATATTTGGTTGGGGGGAAATCAGGAATTTGGTTTGGGGTTATAGGAAGCGGTTACAGGGTTAAGCCTAGGACTGACCTGCTGGCAAAGTCACAAACAAGTCCCAGCTTGGGGGACACAGTCCTCTAAGCATAATTAAGCTTGATCTTATAACTGCTCCCTAGATCTTTCCCGGGTAGCTAGTGGGCTGGGGGGGGGGGGGGGGGGGGGAAGAAAGGGGCTGCAAGTGCTGCCAAAAGAAGTGAAACTTACAACAACATTGTAAATTACATTATTTGTTCTTGACTATAAAATTAACCATCAGCTTGCAGTCTGGATCTATTCTGTGGCCTTAGCCAGGCTCAGAAGATCCACCTAGAACCATCTTTTTCTCTTTGTCATTTCTCCATCCTTCCTCACCCCTGCTCAGGCTCGCTGAACCCTTGGCTATTCTGTTGCCGCACATGGGGTCATGCTAAATTTGAGGCATCTATTCAACATTCAGATGGCTATTTAAGTCTGCAGTTATAAGGAGAAAGGTTTGGACTGTAGATATAAATTTGGGATCCCTGGCATTAGACGGTAATTTGAAGTCAAACAACTGGGCAAGTTCACCAGGGGAGTGAGTGTAAAGAGAGGAAAGAGAGGTCTGGGAGCTAAGTATTGGGGATTCCAAACTGTTACAGTCAGGGGATGGAGAGGAACCAGCATAGGAGATGTAAGAGGAGCAGCCAGTGAAGTAGGAGGCAAATCAAGAAAATACTGTCTCTTTCAAGTCAAATAAAGAAGTATTTTAAAGAGGAGAAAGTGACCAGATGGGTTAAATACTGATGATTATTCAAATAAAATGAATTCTGAGAATTGGCTCTTCAGTCTAATAGTGTGGAGGTCACTGGCTACCTTAGCAAAAACTGTTTCAACGGAGTGATAAGATTGGTGTCCGGGTTCAGGAGAGAAGCAAGGGGAAGGAAGAATTGGAGACAATTAATATAAACATTTTAAGATGATTATACCTCAAACTAGAAGCCAGGGTTAGTGAGTGAATGTGGCGTTCATTATATCCCCTTTCTTCCAAGTTTAGGATAGTTAGCTTAGTTACTCCATAAACTATAATTAGAACAATCAATTACTTTAAGAGCCTGGGCCTGGCCACTTTCTGATTCACAACCTTGGGTAAGTTAGTGGCCTCATTTTTAAACATGTGGTACCTTCTTCAGGTAATGCTTTATATATAGCCTTCATACAGTGAAGGAATCTCTTGTGTTCTTAGATTTCAAATTCATAGGAAATTCCAACTTGGGTATTGCATTTTTTTTTTTTAAATTCTTATCCGTATTCATTGATTTTTATTTATTTTATTTTTTTTTTTCATTGATTTTTAGAGAGAGTTGAAGAAAGGGAAGGACAGAGAGAAATAACGATGTGCGAGAGAAACACATGGATTGCTTGCCTCCTGCACACTGACCAGGGCCTGGGCCGGAGGAGCCTGCAACCTAAATGCGTGCCCTTGACCAGATTTGGACCTGGGACCCTTCAGCCCACAGGCTGATGACGCTCTATCCACTATTCTCATCATGAGAGAAGTTTGGGAAACACTGCACTAAGCCAAACCTGCTAGGGTGCATCTT